TGTTTCGAGATCTGCCGCGGATTCATCATCAGAGACATAGGCAGGAAGCAGTAGAGGATTCACAGCGCAGATTGACGTGGGGTACTTGCATGCCCAAAATATGAAAGGACTATTACTTGAAATCTCTCTTGCCCTCTGAGAAATCATTGGAAATAATTAACTGAAAACCATGTTTAAGAAGGCCGTTTGAGCGTGAATTAAGCAGCCTCGGTGAATTATATACTTTTTAAACAACTCGACGGATTTATCCCATTTCCACAAAATAAAACTTGCCTTTCTCTCTTTAGAAGTAAATTTGGCGACTGTCTTGGTTTAAATGATGTCTGATGTCCCCTATCGAATCAGCCGTTGTGATTAAGATGTCTGAAGTCTGCTCAACAGCAGGGTAGGCACCGGCTGGTGACCTTATCGTGAATAGTTTTATATTCGTGGTATATTTGCGCTACATATGCATAATACAGTGTCAAGGCGACCGGAGGGGGTCTCATGCATCCCATCTGTGTATGAGGTCCATTGAACTTGCCTCTCGGTCACACATTATATAAATGTGAGCCTGACTGCGAGAATCGAGTAACGCGATTGGTTGATAGCATTCCAGGCCACAACGTCTAGCAAATCATGACAAATTCACAGCCCGTCAGATTAGTTATAGCAGTGAAAACGCAGCAGTGTCGTTGAGATAGAGTGTTAGGGTCGATCCCACTACCACTTCCCTCTTCCGTGCATCCAGTAATTCGGGATTAAGACATGTAGTCTTCATAGCCATTCTAGTGATAAAAAATAGTTAACGTTCACGGTCATTCAGTGGCATACGGTTTTATGAAGGAGGGGTTTGATAGCAACGCAAGCCAGAACTCGCACATTCCTAGTAAAGGCCTGTGCGTTTCTCCATGGGCGTTTCAAACTCCCAATTATTAGAGAGGCTGTAAATCTTGGCCGGAAGATGTGTTGCAGTCCTAGAGGTTTTACAACCATTGATTCATTTTGATAAGCTTCTATGATTTTACGGTCTGCTGCAAACAGAATCTTGTGGGCAGAATCAATAAAAATTGGCGCCCTCAGGCTTCCTCTTGACGACCCATTTAAGCCGAGTTGATTTATTGTCCATCGCATATCTTGCAGATTGTGCACGACCAGAGGAATCGCAAACGCGTGGATGGAAGTCTGCAAGCTTGTTGGGTGTCAACGACTGTATACTGCTTACTTCAAATGAAATATCGGCCAACAAAGTTCGTTTTAAACTCTCACAACCGTCAGCTTATATGATTCGACTACTCGACAAAAAATATGTTTTCAGCGATTCATCATCAGGAGAGTGCAGTTGCAGGGATGATAAAAATAGTACAGGTGGACAGGGCTAAGAAGCGCCTTGTGATTTCAACTCATCGTTTTCACGCCCCCCCCCAAGATCGGCGTGCAGAGGTCATTGTGAAGAAGACGACTCGATCGCTGGGACAATACGTTTATTCGCCTGACGTTTCG